ATCAATCCCGTCCCGCAGCCCTCTGCGGCCCAAAGTTAAAAACTGTTGTTCTTTTGAGGCCCTCAAGGTGGCGCTCACAGCCCATAGGTTAAGAATCTCTGCTTTATACAACATGTAATTTATCTACAGTATATGTCCGTGAATAAATAAGGTCCAGGAGGGAAACCCAGCTCCTCCTGGGGGGTCCCAAGGTGTGCCCAGGCCAGAAAGGCTACATAACTCCTCCACAAAGTTCTGGGTTTGCCTCAGGATCTCCTCAACTGTGCTGCTGTGTTTGGAAAAGTTCTAGCTGCAGGTTCCCAGGAGACACCTTGATGAATTTATAACATTTTTAGGCCCATACAAGCAAACCACATGTATTAAGCTATAGCTGGATGAAACTTTACCAAAACATTTTTCTTTATTAGAATCAGAAAGAAAGGTCAAAACAAATATATATCTATAAAAAAGACAGCTGAAATTATTAACTCACTTTTGCACTGGCTCATTCCCAAACTTCATCAGCAGTCTGATGGCAGTGGGAGCTGTGTAGAACTTTGTAACGTGATATTTGTCCACTATTTCCCACATACGGCTCACGTCTGGATATGTGGGAAGACCCTCAAACTGAAAAACATGCAATAAAGAAATTAAATAAAAGAACCCAAACATTTCTTTAAAACATTTTAACTTGAATCACATTGTCAAATTCAAATGAAAACTGCAACCTGACAATCAAATTTACTGTAGTTTCCCAGAAGGATTGATAAATACCTACAAACTCAGATAAATTAGTTTGTACACTTTCCTAAAAGATAAAACCATATGTTACCAGATCAGCTGTAAACAGTCAGTCTGCCTCTTTAAATGGTAAAAAGTAGTCACGGTGTGAACCAATGACCAATGTTGAACATGAAGTGAACATTTGGTTTGTTTTCCCCCACAAATCATTATCTCTTTGTATGGTTTAAACATTCTTCTGTCTCCTGTTTTACTTTACCATGAGCATTTCTGCCTCATTATGCAAATAAGGTGAGCTGCTGTTCCTGGGTCAGCTCTATGAAGCTCATTTTGATTTTTATTATTCAGTCTAACAAAAAGTAGTTTCAATCAAAAATCATTTTTTAATAAAAAAAAATAATTTTAACTAATCAAACCATTTTATTGGAATTTTTTTGTTGAAACTACTTTTTGTTAGTTTGACTGAATAATAAAACAAAATGACCTTCATAGAGCTCCTCTACAATTTGTCAACAGACAGGTAGGAGCAGGAATCATGCAGATTGATTGTGCATGCCTGTGCTGTTTCAGCAGAACACAGCTTATTTGAAAGGAAGTGTATTTGCAGCTTCCTTTAACAACTCAGAGACAGACGATCTGTTTCCCTTCATAAACAGACTTTTCCTTCTCTGTACAATCTTTGTTCATCTGCCAAGTTTTCATTTGTGAAAGCAAAAAACCTCCTGCGCTCACCAGAACACTAGTGGCCCCCATGGCCAGAGGCCCGTAAGTGATGTAGGAGTGTCCAGTGATCCAGCCAATGTCTGCTGTGCACCAGTAGATGTCATCAGGATGGTAATCAAAGACCAGTTTAAAGGTGGTGGCAGTGAAAAGCATGTAGCCACCAACTGTGTGAAGAACTCCCTGCAGAGAGGAAGGTTGGCAAAGAACACCTGCACTGAGCACTGGGACACATTACACCATGCACAGTGGGACACATTTAGGGTTGGGTACAGAAACTGGGTTCCATTATGGCACCGGGGCAAACATCAACGGTAGTACACAGACCGAAACACAACTCTAACTCCGTTGCCTTATTTCAGTGCCTCAAAGAAAGCTGCTAATTGCACCCTCTGGTGCTCACTGTTAACAGTGACAGCCTTGGCACACAAACTCCACAGACGCTCTTGTACGCGGCTCGACTCGGCTCGGTCTCGGCCCAATGCATCTCTTCAAGCACGCTCAACATCTGCTCTGTCTCAGAACCTCTTCTCCGGTGGTTTGGGTAGAAGCGAGTACAGCACGTTTATGATTTTAACGTCAGCAGAATTCTGCCCGTGGATTAACTCTTGGATTGACTGACAGCAAATTTCCTCCTGGAGAGAGCTGATTTTGTTTAATACGAGCGCGCTGCACAATATGACAACATGGTGAAAGCAGTGATAAAACTGTCTTTTTGGTGATTAGAAAGGCAGAACTTGTAAACACTTCCTGGAGAGAGGTGAAGGAGACAAAGCTGAGCAGCTAACCGATAGGTTTTGAACAAACTGACCGCCCATGGTTACACAAGCACTTAGCTAAACAACACTGTGTTAATTAATAAATAAATTAATAAATAAATCAAAAGTAAAGTCCGAACGGTAAGACCACAATGGCTTTTTTATTTTATTTATTTATTTATTTATTTATTTTTAACACAACAGTTGAAGCTGCTGCGGACACATAATCACACTCACAGAGTGAGGGACTCTGTGGGAGACACATGGACACTGAGCAGAACCGACTCGACACAAAGTGAATTGAATATAACAGAGTTCATGGAGAGGGGCTGAACAGGTGCCACTGCAGTTAACAGTAATACATTATTTATTGTAGTCGAGATGTCGAAAGCAAAACGGTCCAAAGTGTGGTGTCCCTTTCCAAAATAAGATGCAGAAACTTCCACCAACAACAAATGCTTTAATAATATTTGGTACAAAGACAAATTATTAATGGTTTTAAGTTAATAAGTTGGTCAATTTCAAGTTTGACTTTGACTAAGAAATAGTCATTGCTTCATAAACCTCTGTGTGAGTGTTTGTGTTTTATTTATTTATTTTTAAAGTACCTATTTAAATACCGTTTAGGAACCGGTACTGTTTTGAAAGTATCAATTTAGCACCGGTATCAAAATAAACCCTTTCAATACCCAACCACCATGCACAGTGGGACACAGTGGGACGCATTACACCATGCATGTCCTTTGAGAAAAAACAGCACATGGTTATAAAGAATTTACTACACAGTTACAAATSAATCCAAGGTTTGATTGAGTGAAAAAAAAAACATAAACTTAAGTTTTAAATTGCTGTCAATACAAAGGTTTTTGGTACTTCTTTTAAAATTCAGGAACACATTTGTCACACTGACCGTCTTCAGACCTGGCACTAACATCCAGCCTGAGGACAGGTGTCAGAAGTACTCACATTCAGTACTCAGGTAGAAGTACAAATACTAGGGTTTAAAAACACTTCTGTACAAGTTGAAATATCAACTCAAGCTTTTTACTCAGATGTAAAAAGTACTGGGTTTAAAATGAAGTATAAAAGTAAAAGGAAAGGAAAAAAGGCCATGCCACTGGGTCCTATAGTGCACAACCCCACCTCCTAATTAAACATCATCTTTAGACCGTAATGACCAGTGTTTTATTAAAATGTTGTGTCAAACCAGTCCACTTAGAAAATGCTTCTCCAGCTTACTTTCACAGCCTTTTGTTGGCCCCACCCCAACTAACTTAAGATGTGTTGATCTAACTTTTCCCTAAAAAGAGCCACTGTTTGTTAGTGTAAACATTAGATCTGATTACTGTGTTCCTTTGTAAAAAAATAAAATGTTATGCCATTTACAAATCAGTTTATACAATGCTYTAAGTTTTTCAGAGTTGGGGTTTTACAACAGATTGCTTCTGACATTTCTAGTAAAATTTCAAAATGTGTGTCTGTCTGAAGTATTCAGTAAAGTTGATCTGTGCTTCCTGCAGATGTATGCATCTTTTTGAGCATCCTAATAAGCCTGACTGGCAGGCCAAGACTGAACCGATCAATTTCTCCTTTCAGCAGGACGTGCTTCAAGAACAAGTTGTTCTAGATGCTTCTTTGTACACGTCACAAGTTAATTTCTCCCATGAGGCTGCACACAAACATCTATGTTCATGTACTTACARCAGAAGAAGGTATCATGTCTCAAGTTCTACATCAGGTAAACACTTGACTGTAGCTGTGTTTCCATTGCAAATGTGCGCAAAACTTTGTCAATATTCTGTTAATGTCGAAAAAACACAGTTTCGCAACTGYRGTGTTTCCATTAAGTAAGAAATGCTATTAAAGTCACGCGTGAATACGTTTGTTCTCTTGATAAGTCATTACAAACATGGCAGCGATGGATGTAAACACATAGCATGTTGCTACCACGACACTAGYGCTCATCATCAGAGGAGACGGTCGGCGTCTTTTATCGAGGCTTTCCAGAGACAAGTCCCTACTTGGGAGCGRCTACGTATGCTGTGTTTTTGGGAAAYTGTRKTYSBTGAGTTTACTATTTTATACTACTTCTGTGATATTACTACTACTTCTACTTCCTGTTATCTTCATCATCGTCTTTTTCACCAGTAGAAACAGCCGGTTGTTGATCACGTGACTCCTGTGATGTGAAAAACACCAATTTTGATACGTTCGAAAAACCACCTCATCCTAGCACAAAAACATTTTGTTGAAAAACGTAATTTTTTTCTAAATTGACGTGTTTCCATTCAGCAAATTTATTTTCGAAAGTCTAATTTGCACATTTTCATGGTCAATGGAAACGCAGCTTGTATATGGAGGCTAACCTAGCACATTTACAGTAATTGATAGTCTCACACATGAGGCTTGTGCTTGTTGAGCATTATATSTTTATAGTTCATGTCTAAGGAGGTAACAGTGCTGTTTTTACTTTTGGTTTTCCAGTCGAGCCACTGGTGTAGAGAACGAAAAGAGGATCTTCAGAATCACACCACACAGGCTCACAATCATCTGAGGCTCCATTGATCAGTGTGTGCCAACACAAGTCCACTTCTGGGTTCCATGGGATCTGGTAACAGCACACACATGCACAAACAAACACGTTAGACAGATGAATATATGTCAGCAAAGACCAATGTGCACAAGAATAAGAGGGCAAGACACATCCCATATACACAAACAACTTATAACTATTATAGTTTAGAAGAGATGAATCAAAAAGAAAAAATCAGTAGGTCCTCTGGGTGGTTTTTCTTTAGTGAAACGTTTCGTCTCTCCTCCAAGAGACTTCTTCAGTCTGATGAGTTTCAGTTGAAACTCAGCCTTATAAGCTCCGCCTCCACATGGACAAACAGGTTAGTCACATGCAAAATAGGGCCATCGACTAACAATAGGCTTGATTGGCTCTATTGTTCATAGAGGGTCATGTGCCCCATCACCTGACCCGTGTCGTGTTATGTGAATGTAGTGAATGCAAGCGGGGGGTTTTAACATCCCCTTGTTTTTGTCCCTCCCTCCCTCTTTGTGTTGGTATCATTGGGGCCCTGATTCACACCTTTTGCTTACAGGGGGCKGAGTCATACTTGACATTTGTCCCCCTCCTAMAACGCTGTCAATGCAAGTATGACTCCGMYCCCTGTAAGCAAAAGGTGTGAATCAGGGCCCCAATGATACAAACACAAAGAGGGAGGGAGGGACAAAAACAAGGGGATGTTAAAACCCCCCGCTTGCATTCACTACATTCACATAACACGACATGGGTCAGGTGATGGGGCACATGACCCTCTATGAACAATAGAGCCAATCAAGCCTATTGTTAGTCGATGGCCCTATTTTGCATTTGACTAACCTGTTTGTTCATGTGGAGGCAGTGCTTATAAGGCTGAGTTCACCTGAAACTCATCAGACTGAAGAAGTCTCTTGGAGGAGAGACGAAACGTTTCACTAAAGAAAAACCACCCAGAGGACCTACTAATTTTTTCTTTTTGATTTTTTCTACCTGGATTACTGAGATGCATCAGTAAATTTAGAAGAGATGGCTCTATGTTAGAAAAGATCACTCTAAGAAAATGTTGTCTTCACAGTATGCTGGCACATTTCATTTTCATGTCATCTTGGCCTCAACTTTTCAGTTAGGTTAGGGTTAGATATAACTTTATTGATCCCTTTGGGATAATTCCTTCAGTTCCAGCAGCATGGCTCAGGCAGTAAAAGTGAGAACAAGTATAAAAATACAAATATAAACTAGAATAGTTCAGGTGACAGCTGTCAAGTACTTTGGCTCTGGTCAGAGCGTGTGATTGGTTAGAACTTGGTGGGTGTGTTTGTTCAAGAGGAGCAGGACTCTGGTTTCTGCAGCTTATTTTGTTTAAAATGATTTGTTGTCTGAAGCCAGTTGTTAAACGAGCCAGAAGAGCTGCTGATCTGATCCTATTTAATGTGAGCACACAGYTGATTTTCAGATTTCCGTGCCTTTTTTTTCCCATCACCACTGTTTAAAAAAAATTTATAAAGTTTTTCCTCCGCGGACTCTTTTTCACCCAACAAGACACTGATGATTGAGTGATAAAAACACAACATCCAGCCATCATTATTGCTGTTTATGTACTTACATGAGCTGTGGGAGGCAGAGGGAGGATCTATGATCATTTATAGCCCACCACAACTTCAGCCTGTTTATACTCAAGAAAAAGACGTCCAAAAGGGTGCAATCTGCTTTCTCTCATCGTATTGCTTAACAACTCGCACAAGATTTCTGTGTAAAACTTCTTCAATGATGTGTTTTCCTCAAAGGAATTTAGCTTTTTAATTCCATTAATACTGGTTAGAACTAGATTATGTTCTGATATGAAATATAACAAATTCTTAGACATGAAGAAAAGTATTTGCACAGCCAAAAAACAAGTAGGAAGAGAACTTGAAGGGAAACATGACATACAAACTAATTTAGAGCTACAAAGAAAAACATTGCTATAAAATAAAGATTGATTCTTCTTTCCAATTATTTGAAGTGGTCCTCTCCCTTTAAAGAGGATAGAACTACTGACAGTTTTAGAGTTTATGGCTCCATTTCATTTGCCTTTATGAGCCAAAACCAATGCATCAAGCCAAGAAAGCATTTCACACACTAAATCAATCCAAGTCTGCAGTCCACTTTACATAATTAAGAGACGGTGAGTAGAGTTAGTAGGACCTATTTCCAACACGGAGAATTTTCTGAATACTTCATTTAGTTTGTTCTTCTTTTTGAACAAGAAGGAAAGGAAAAAGGTCAAGTTAAAATTAGAGAAAGAATAATATTACACCAACATGTAGATTCAGTCACAGCTGGAAAGGTATGTAGTTGTTTACACTGTAAAATCACTTAATACACTAATAAAAATACGAGTTAGGCATCACAAAGTGGTGGTTAAAATACCATGAAACTGCAAGTGTTGAAAGATCATGTGACTATAACAATAATTAAACAATCATTAAGTCTCAAATGTATAAAACTAAACATAAAAACTGCTTATTTGCACATTCAGCAGCAAAACAGGATCTATTTGGATAAAAAGAAACACTTGAAAATAATTGTTCTACGGAATATAAAAATTTTTAGATAAGACTTCGTCCAATTTGTTTACACGAAAAGACAAAACAAAAATTACATGCAGCTAGCCACTAGGGGCGCTTGACTTCAACTTTGTGGCTTTAACTTTTGACTTCCGGTCCTGTAAAACACAAGACACAAACACTGCTAGTCCTATATCAAAAGGGGTGATATTTACTCGTTTTGAATGACACACAATTTAGCATCTACCTGAAATGCCATCCTGTATGCTCTTTGGTTTCTGTACAGGACGGTTCCTTGCAAACAAAATCTTTGTCACCAATGGTTGTTTCTGGCATTAAAGGTCTGCATATTTTTATCAAGGCGACGATACAAAACTAGAGTTTGCACCCTTGCTTTTTGAATTAAAAATCATTAAATTCTTGACCCACCTTCCCTGTTTGAGTTGGTTCATCTAACTCAGCTGAAAAGTTAGTATAATACAATCGATTGTGGAGAAAAAAAACAAGGCATGCATGGCTGAAATGTAGCATTTAAGGAGTGAAATGTCTCAGGAGCTTCAAATGTTTCAGCACAATAAAACTACAACATTGTCTTTACAGCATGAGATTTTTGTGTACAAAAATTACTAATATTAACTTTGAAAATGAACAAAGAAAAACTGAAGTGTACACACAAAGAATGCATGAAGTTGTTGTATTGCTTGTACACTTACTAATATAACTGTACATCTGTTTTTAATACTCTTACAATAAAACAAATAAAATAATTATATCTGCTGTTAATATTATTAACAACAGATGCTTAGATTTGATGTAAATGCATAAACAGAATTTATTATTCCAGTGAATTCATGTAACTCAACATACTAGCATTTTTTTTGTCATGCAATGTCTTTAAGCAAACTGTTAACAGACTTTTTTTCTTTCAAGCCCAATGGTAGATCATTCCAACTGAACTGTAGTTCTGTTCAATTTTATCTAGGTTATAAAAGATGCTTTATCTGGATTATGAAAGTATTATTCACACATTCACATTTGCTTTCTATTATACACTGCTCAAACACCTTCTCTACTCCACCACAAAACAAACACACACACAAGTTTGTATTTCTATCCTTGTGTAGAAGCATGGACCGTGTGGATCAATGTTGTGACATCATCAAACATGGAATAATTTTCCAACTATCAGAGGACGTATATGTGCTCCACCCTCACATGATAACTTTCCTTTCTCTACAGCCTACAGGCCTACAGTCATAAATTCAACCAGACCAGATCACCATGGTAAAGAGGACACTGGACCCTAAAACCCTTTTCTTATCTGACAGTGATCTTCTCTGGAATTGGATACTCAGTGTACCTTATTTTCTGTGGAACTCTAAATAACCAGAGAACTGATGAAAACAAGTATTATTGCTTTACTCTTTATTGTTGTGTATACATCATATTATTTCATGGTTTTAAATGTCCGTCCTTCAGWCCATTTTCTTCCTCTTATCCGGGATCGGGTCTCAGGGACAGCAGCCTAAGCAAAGAGACCCAGACTTCCCTCTCTCCAGCCACTTGGACCAGCTCCTCTGCGGGAATCCCAAGGTGTTCCCAGGCCAGCTGAGAGGCATAGTCCCTCCAGCATGTCCTGGGTCTTCCTCTGGGCCTCTTCCCAGTGGGACATGCCCGGAACACCTCGCCAGGGAGGCATCCAGGAGGAATCCTAACCAGATGAACCACCTCACCTGGCTCCTCTCAACGTAGAGGAGCAGTGGCTCTACTCTGAGTCCCTCCTGGATGACTGAGCTTCTCACCCAATCTCCAAGGGAGAGCCCAGACACCCTGCGAAGGAAACTTATTTCGGCCGCTTGTATCCATGATCTCGTTCTTTCGATCACTATCCAAAGTTCGTGACCATAGATGAGGATAGGAATGTAGGCCGGCCGATAAACTGAGAGCTTCACCTTCTTACTCAGCTACCGCTTCACCACGACAGACCGGTACAGCGCTCGCATAACTGCAGACGCAGCACCAATACGCCTGTTGATCTCCCGCTCCATTCTTCCCTCATTCGTGAACAAGACCCCAAGAAACTAAAACTCCTCCACTTGGGACAGGACCTCCTTCCCGACCCGGAGGCAGCACACGACCAGTTTCCAGCTCAAGACCATGGTATCGGATTTGGAGGCACTGATCCTCATCTTGGCCGCTTCACACTCGGCTGTGAACCGCTCCAGCGAGAGCTGGAGATCAGGATCTGATGAAGCCAATAGGACCACATCATCCACAAAATGCAGAGATGTGATCCTAAGGTCACCAAAAAGGATCCCCTCAACACCTTGGCTGTGCCTAGAAATTCTGTCCATAAAAGTTATGAACAGAATCAGTGACAAAGGGCAACCTTGGCGGAGTCCAACTCTCACCAGAAACAAGTCCGACTTACTACCGGCAATGCGGACCAAGCTCTGGCACAGGATACAAAAATAGGATACAGGGACCTAACAGCCCGTATCAACGAGCCTGGTATCCCATACTCCCGGAGTACCACCCACAGGAGTCCCCGAGGGACACGATCAAACGCTTTCTCCAAGTCCACAAAACACATGTAAATTTTAAATGTGTGATTGTCTAATCAATGATGTCTCATATAACTTCTTAACGATTGAATTTAATTTTGGTGGATCACCATCCACTCGCCGCCACCTTGCTCACATTGATTATAATGGCTGTGTATTTACTGCGGAGGTTGGAGCAGAGCGTAACCACATCCAGTGTTAACTGGAGGCCAGTCTGCTGATAATGACTCCAACTCATGTAACTGGGTTTTTCAACAGGACATCACTGCAGTTCACAATGACAAAGGACTTCTTCCAAAGAAACATCACCRCTCTTTTGGACCATCCTGCATGTTTCCTTGAGTTAAATCCAACAGAGAACATTTGGGGCTGATTGCAAGGGAAGTTTAGAAAAATGGACACCAGATCAAGACACTGCAAAATGTGAATTCTTGCCATTTTTCAACTGGTCTTAAAATTTTGATCATGCGTGTACTGTTGGACTTTCAGATCCAGACTGAAGCAGGTGATGGCTATCCAAACTAACTTTGTGGTGTCAAACAAACTACTGAAGAAGGCAGTGGTGATAGATGTAGCAACCCCAATCAACTGTAACCTTAGGAGGGAGCACGAGAAGCTAGAGATATACCAGGAGCTGAAAGAGAAAATACAGGAGCCACTGGTCACTGAAGCATTCAGGGTTCTGACACCCAAACTGCAAGAGTGGCTTCAACAGATCCCAGGAAAAACCTAAGAAATCTGTGTCCAGAAGAGAGCAGTCCTAGGAAAATTTAAGATGCTGCGAAGAACCATCCAGCACACAGGCCTACGTTAGAGGAYCTGAGATTAAAGTGAAGTGGAACCACTCGTGTGGAAAACATGGGGCTACTCAAGCCTCTTTCAGAAGACAGATCTGTGAAATCGCAGCACAGACCAGTYGGCTTTAAGCTCCCTCGGGTCATTCATAAAATCACAGGAGAAGCTGGCCAGGTCCCGCTCACATGTATGGCTTCATAAATGAACACAGCAGCAGGAACCAAAAGAGAACAGAACTCAGCTGGGCTGAAGTGGACCGTATCATATCTTATTTTAGTGACCCTGTTGTTCAGTATTTTTTCTAGCTACACAGTTGCTATTCTGTCACTTTTAATACTCCCTCTATAATAAACCTGTTTGTTGGTTAGATTCTAGGGTCACTCACTGATGTCATCAGCTCATTATTCTGAGCAGACCCATGGGTTGTTTTTTCACAAGTGGGTCTGCCGGCTCAGTCCCGGCTCTGATACTACCTCTGCTCGCAGCTCAGGGGCTCATCAGAGGTGGGCTCATTTTACTCGCCTTTCTGTCTCCATGCTTTTTCTGAATGCTCAGAGGACAGAACGCACATCAATCCTGGACTGAGCTGTCTTATGAATGAGGCTTCAGAGTATAGACAATCTTTTCCTCCTGAAGGCTCACACTTACAAACATAACATAGCAACTCCTGTTTGTTAAAGCATAAAATTTAACCCAACGTGAATAAATTAAGTCAGCCAGCTCAATTATAAAAACAAAGTAACTAGACTGAGGTCCTATGAATACTACTGCAGTTGTTTTAAAAAAAAAAGATTTTCTGCAGTGTTTTTGCTCTCGTTTTGATAAATGCAAACGGTTTTGGTGAGGAAAAAGGAAAAAGCATTTTTTTATGCATTGCTAAAAACAGTTTTGGTGGATCTGGATGAAGGTAAGATTCTGACCTTCTGAGAAATAATAATGTAGCTGCTTATTTCATGAACGCCCACAATCACTCTGTGTTCCAAAAACCAAAAGAAGAATGGAGATGTCAGGTTAAAAGCAGTGAAATACTAAAAATAATTACAATAACAACGCATTGGTCTTATTTAGCGTTTTTCAAGACCCTCAAAGACGCTTTACAATTTCATATATCATTCACACACACGCGCGCGCGCACACACACACACACACAAACTTGTTTTTATATCCTAGTGGGGCCTGTCCATTGACTTCCATTCATTTTTTGGTAATTTTATATCCTAACTCTGACCACAAACCTTAAGGCTAACCTCACAGGTACCTACCTGACCCTAAAACTAACCTAAACTCAATTCACACCTTGGTCCTAAACCTAACCCTCACACCCAAAATCAGCCTCTGAAGTTGTGGGGCCCAGGCTTTGGGCTCCACAAGGAGCACCCGGACCCCACGAGGCTGCGTTTTCCTTAAAACTGGGGCCCACGATGTAGGAAAAACAAGGACACACACACACACACACACACACACACACACACACACAC